AAAAAATAGTATTCATGCTAAATTAATTAGATATTTTCTGTATATTTTTAATGTAGAAAAAATGCATGTACACAATTAGTAGTGCTAATACCAACAATAACACTTTTTTCAAGGATATTCAATAAAGGTTTGAGGAAAATAAAATCTATTTAAAAAAAAATATTTATAGTCAGGGACAGCCTCCCATACACCCTCAAGCAAGCAAGAATCTCCCGGAAATTACCAATTTTCTGCAAATTCATAATATTTGTATGTTTTTAATACTTTATTATCAATTGTCTCACAGAAGTCAGTGCTGATGAGAATCACCATCACAGCAAAATAAAATTAAATATGTTAAGAAAGCTCATTTAACCAGATCTCCCGGATTTCTGTTCAACATTATTCTTAAATAAGATAAACAATATAAACTACTATACTTTAATGACAGTGCCATCATCTAATCGACACTCTCGACAGTACTTCTCCTCAAGGCTGACACATAGTCCTGTGTTACTAGGTAATGCATTGATGAGCTGAGAGAATGCCTTGTTTTGTTCATCATCAAACTGTGCTCCTGGAGCACACCTACATTGTTGATATGCAACGTTGCAAACCGCTGGTTTCCTAATACTTAGGTTATTAGTCCAATCAAGGCCAGAGTCTATTTTCTTACGCTCTTCGCATGTCAAGACATAATCACAATCTGCTGGACAACCTGTTAGCAAATATCAATGAGACATTTTTATAGGATATTTTGTACCAGGGCTAAATTTATATATATATTTTTTTAAAGTTGTTTCAAAAGCAATTTTTTAATTGTAATTACTTCTCGATCACTCATAAAAAGGCTGCCTTCAGTGGCATTTGCGAGGCTGTGTACTGGGGCAGGTCCAAATATTTGCAGGAGAGGGTGCAAAAATCAAAAGGGGCACTCCTATATAAATCACATAAGTATTAAATGAAGTGGGGGACCATATTCTGTCTTGTCACTTCCATCCTTTGGGATACTTGAAAGCCAAAAATATCCGCACTAGGAGTATCATTAATGTGTAGATAATCATTCTGTGATTCGTCACGCATTGAAAAATTTTAGTGATTAATGTGGTCACTTTATAATATATATTATTTCGTTAAATTTATTGAATATACAGGTTTATATCAGTCGCTCTACCTGAAGTTTAAAAAATATACTAAATATTACACTGCTCCTTTCACTGTACTGTATTAACGTAATTTGATTATTGAATTCTCAAACGTGTTGATTTTGTAGCTTGTAAAGCCCTCGTCCAATATTTTGTAGATTCATATTACTGCATATATAGGAACTCAAAAAATGTCAATAGTAAGACACCTAAAAGAATGGTGCAGTACAATATACTATCTGAGTACACATCTGGACGGTAAATTGTCACAAACTTTTGGTCCTTACTCAAATTAGTATATGATGCATATGTTCACACTGTGATAAATATATTCTTATTAGTTCTAGTCATGCCTGTTGATCATTCTACCTTACCTTTACCTTTGTATTCTATTTGCAATAGTCCTGAATTGTTGCCCATTTAAAGAAGTTTAGTTCTGTACTAATTACTTAAAAACTAAACAAAAAAATAAGCATAACAACATCATTGTGTAAACTCACGTGGATACTTGGTTGTTCCTGAAAAAAAAAAAAAATTAAGTGCAATTTACTATCAAATTATTAGATGGGTCGTGGCTAGTGTTGGGAATCACAACTTGAGTCCAAGTGAAAAAAGTTTGAGAAGCGAGGTTTTTGAAGATGCTTAACTCGACCTCTGTGACACTGTGTGGTAAACGAAGTTTGTTTTTTCACAGAGAACATACTGATTCAAATTTAGAAAAGTAGGCTTACTCTACAATTGATTGTTGACAGGGTGGATTTAGAGAGGGACAAATCAGATTTAAGTCCCCTTCCCCAAAATTTAACCCACCATGTATTTTTATAAATGTAGATTGGCCAGTTAGTATAATGTAGGCCTAAATTGGGCTCATGATGATATTTGTTTATCAACCACCCACAGAATATTCTACTTTAGGGGAGACTTCAATATTATTGTATTGCTTGCTAATCTTTTAATGAGAGATGCTCAACATTTTTATTTAAATATTTTAACAAGTTTTCATTTAATTGTAAGAGAAAATAAAGTGTCTGAGGCAACACTTACCATTTATCGGTGACTCTGTTGTCTCTTGTTTAGAACATTTACAACACTCTCCTTCAGGCTTGTACAAAAACAGTCCCTTCTATAAACAATATATAAAAATTTTAAAAATACATTAGACAAAATCAACTTTACTCCCCAAATTTATACTGTAAAAAATGTTGTAGATGATCGACTGTCTAGACAGAGAAAGAAATAGGTAATTTTGCTATTTATTCTCTATATATCAGTTTAACATTGACAACAATCATATAAAATTGCAGTTAATCTTGGCAACATGTTCTGTATTCCAAGTGTCAATCACAATTCTAATGCAGAAGAACTTATGTGTGCAGATCTTTTTTCAATCCACTTATACTGGCCACTCTACCAGACAATGCCGAGGCTTAGCAATGGCTAACAGCTTATTCCTCTACATTCAGTAATGAATACAGGACTACCTTTTCCTTATAGTGTATATCGCCTGTATACTATTGATACAATAGCTATTGATACATTAGCTATTTAGTACTGTTGACTGGTTTATGGAGTATTTCATTTACAGTAATTTAATTATTGATTGATTGTTCTTCTATCAATCCACTAACTCAGTCTTGAATTATTCAACTGGCTTGGAATGATTTTATTATATAGGCATGATCCAAAATTTAAAAAGTAAAAAACAAATTAATACAAAATAATTGATTGTTTGACTAATTGGCTGGTTGGTTGATTGAATTAAGCAACTGGGATAGACTGTGTTATAGATATGTAAATAATATATTGATTGATTGATTGGTTGACTCATCATTTTGATGAGTGTTATATTGGTCAATTGAGGTGGGAAAATTTTATACATAATATATATATATTTTTTTTAAGAGTGTACTAAATGTGTACATAATGTCATCCATATGCTTTGATTGTAAATAGTGATTATAAATGTATGAATGGAGAAATAAAGGTGGGAAAATCCCACGAAAGACAAAAAAAGAAATTGTTTTGCTTAAAGTAAATCAAGAACTTGAGTTGTATCATATTATGGTAGATCAACATGCACATACGCAAGCCTTAGAAAGACATTGTAGACATTAAATAATAAAGACAAACCTTTGAACAGTCCTCCTCTGTTAAACTACATTGCTTTCTGCACTGACCAACAACATCATTATAGTCAAACTCCATACATTTACAAATCTCACACTCGTTGCGTGTCAGAGTTTGGCCCTCCTAAAAAATAGTATTCATGCTAAATTAATTAGATATTTTCTGTATATTTTTAAAGTAGAAAAAATGCACTGTACATAATTAGTAGTGATAATACCAACAATAACACTTTTTTCAAGGATGTTCAATAAAGGTTTGGAAAATAAAATCTATTTTTTAAAGCATATTTATAGTCAGTGACTATTCCAGCGTATTATAAAAGGTCAGCTTGTAATGCAATAACGTGATGGTTTATTGCATACTTATTTTTTTAAAGATGATCGGAGAAGGGCGGAATAAAAATTTAAAAAAAATTTTGTTATCTTATTTAGCAACTAATTTTGCCAAAAACATCCACATGGAGGAGAAAAGTCTCCCACAAATTATGGGGAGGGGTCTCTCACAAGTAGGGACGGCTTCCCATACACCCTGAAGCAAGCAAGAATCTGGGTCCTCGGGGACCCAGCCTGAATTTCCCAGTGTGTAGGCATACATATACGAGGACAAATAAAGAATTATTATTATTATAAATCTCCCGCAAATTAGACCATTTTCCCCAAATTCATAATATTTGTATGTTTTTACTACTGAATCAATTGTCTCACAGAATTCAATGCTGATGAGAATTACCATACACAGCAAAATAAAATAAAAATGTTAAGAAATCTTATTCAACTAGATCTCCCAAAAGGGATTTCTACCAGCCACTGGTTTCATTGAGAAAAAAATTGTTCAATTTTATTCTTAAATAAGATTTACAATATATAACTACTATACTTTAATGACAGTGCCATCATCTAATCGACACTCTCGACAGTACTTCTCCTGAAGGCTGACACATAGTCCTGTGTTACTAGGTAATGCATTGATGAGCTGAGAGAATGCCTTGTTTTGTTCATCATCAAACTCTGCTCCTGGAGCACACCTACATTTTTGATATGCAATGTTGCAAACCGCTGGTTCACTTATACTTAGGTTTTTAGCCCATTTAAGACGGGAGTCTATTTTCTTTCGATCTTCGCATGTCAAGACATAATCACAATCTGCTGGACAACCTGAAAGCAAATATCAATGAGAAGACATTTTTATAGGATTTTGTATCAGGACTAAATTTAAATGTATTTTTTTAAAGTTGCTTCAAAAGCAATTTTTGAATTGTAATTACTTCATGATCACTCACGAAAAGGCTGCCTTCAGTGGCGTTTGCGAGACTGTGTACTGGGGCAGGGCCAAATATTTGCAGGAGAGGATGCAAAAATCAAAAGGGGCACTCCTATATAAATCAAATAAGTATTAAATGAAGTGGGGGAACCATCTTCTGTCTTGTCACCATCCCATCCTTTGGGATACTTAAATGCCAAAAATATCCGCACTAGGAGTATCATTAATGTGTAGATAATCATTCTGTGACTCGTCACACATTGACAAATTTTAGTGGTTAATATGCTCAATTTTTAATATATTATTTCATTATTCAGTATTTATTGAATATACAGGTTTATATCAGTCGCTCTAACTGATGTTTCACAAATATATGGAAAATTACTCTGCTCCTTCTGAACTGTATTAACGTAATTTGAATATTGAATTCTCACATATGTTGATTTTGTAGCGTGACAAGTCCTCGTCCAATATTTTGTAGATTCATTAGTGCAAAATTATTTTTATGATATTTTAATGGACATATATATAAACTCAAAAAATGTCAATAATGGTAAGACACCTAAAAGAATGGTGCTACAATATACTATCTGTGTAAATAACACATCTGGACAGTAAATTGTCACAAACATTTTGTCCTTACTCAAATTAGTATATGATGCATATGTTCACACTGTGATAAATATATTCTTATTAGTTCTAGTCATGCCTGTTGCTCATTCATACCTTCCTTTTACCTTTGTATTCTATTTGCAATAGCCCTGAATTGTTGCCCCTTAAAAGAGGTTTACTTCTGTATTAATTACTTACAAACTAAAAAAATAAATAAATATTAGTAAAATAGCATAATTGTGTTAAACTCACGTCTTTCTGGAACATTTGTAGTACTAGGAGCAAATGTATTTTTGAAACCTGTAATTAACATGTAATATTTATTTTTAAATAATTTTATTCCCAAACTATGGATCACGACCCAAAAGTTGGTCGCTAAACTTTTGCCTCGGTCGCAAGAAAGTTTGCAAAAGGTTTAAAAAAAAAAACAGATTGTCAATTCATTTGTGATAAAATTGACTTGGTTGATGGAAGGTCTTTAACTTTAAATTCAAATTTGCTTCATACCCATTGATCAATGATGGAGTCAAAGATGCTTAAAATACAAAAACAATTTTAAGAAGGTTTGTGATGTAGAATACACCACCTTAGTAGGCCTACTTTGATGTACATGGCTATCAACAAGGCAATAAATATAATTTATATAGTGCCAATTCCAATTATGATTACTTCGAAAGACAAGAGATGTTATAGAGCTACGCTTCCCAACATATGGGTTGCAAACCCAGAAGATGGTCGCCTATGGATTGCCGAAATAAACGACTACCAATGATACTAAAGATTCGATGGCCCAACAAAATAAACAATGTAGAGCTACACGAGAAGGCAAATTGTAATGAAATAAGCACAGAGGTCAGAAGAAGGCAGTGGATTGGTCATGTGGTGACACGACAGGAAGATAACAACAGTAGAGTGGCAAGGACTAAAGAAAACATGGAGGAAACAGTGGAGTAGGAAAGGACAGCAATGGGGTAGAGATTTTGAAAAGCGGCAGAGGAAACAGCAAGACCAAAATAAATGGAAAGATTACGCTATGGCCTTGTGTGTCTCATGGTACAAAGAGGATAGGAGAGGGAGGTAAGGTCGCTTTTTTTTTTTGGTGTATTGACCATTGCCTGTTAAAATTAAATCTTGATTCTTCAAGAAATTCTTGATTTTACTTCAGACAGTAATTATCTTTAATTTAATCGATGTAAAAATTTACTTCGTACCTGTTGTTTCTGATGTTGGGGTTGAAGATGCTGAAAATAAAATCAAAATCAAATTACCTTAGACCATGTTTTTACTGAATATCAAGAAAGAAACGGTTCTCTTATCAATGGTTTATTATCGGATTAGCAAAATAAGAATTTGAATAGAATAAATTGTAGTGGAACACATCCGACAGTTCTGATCATTATTGGAGAACTTAAGAATATGTCCAAATGTAAAATAATGTAGGAGGCCTAAATTATTTATTGTCTTTTATTCAATTTGTATGAATTAGTTTGGAGCTAATATATAATTAATGATGGATGAAAAATGAGATTTGTAAGTTTTTAGCTTGAAGACAACCATAGAAATACAGTATAGACAGTACAGTAATGCACAGATGTTGGCTCCGTTAAGAGCACACCTTTTTCATTTTCCACTTCTTGGAAGAAATGAGTAGTTTGTAAACATTTGTTGGCACCATGACCATTGGGGAATGGTGCAATATAAACATAAATTTGTTGAACAGTTGAAACTAGAGCAGTTACTCTATAGAATGTAATAATTTCAACCATCACTCCTTGACGTAGGTTGAATGATGGTTCATAAATTCCAAATGAAAAAAGTACTATCAACTAAACGTCTTTTTTCCCCTATCGTGATGTAATCCCTAGGCCTCACTTATAATATGACAAGCACGAACAGTTAAGGCCTAGGCCTACTTGGTAGGTATTCATTTCATTGCTTTTTTTTGGCCTGGTAGAATCTTTGCATGAGGTATATATAAGAAATATTGGCTTTTCTGGATTTAGAGAATGGTAAAACCTATACCCCTTCGGTGATGTGGAGCCTACTATGTATCTTCCCAAGGGCAAGCTTGAAGACAACAGAAATTTGACATTAAATGAGATAAAAAGAGATTTGGAAGACTTATATTTAAAAAATTACAGCTGTCAAAGTAAAATTAAGGAATGATCATATAAATTCAGATTAGGATTTCTGAAATGTCATACGTATAAAGAACTTAAGACTGACACTGATAGGCAGTATTTGGGTTTTTGCTTACCGTATATGGTAAGGCAATCTGCATACAAGACAGCCTTTCTTGGACGATTTTTGTATGTCATATAAGATGACACCCTGTTTTTCGATCTTTTGCTGCTTTTTACGTTCTTGATATTGCATCTAGCTGGTTAAAAACGGAGCCAAATATATGGCTAATCCTCCAAATAATACAATTTTATGGGCTTTTAAATATTCATTAAAATCTTATTTTCCCTAAAACTTAAAATTATATTCATACACACTAACAGAGTAGATTAATTTCAGTAGTAAATTCATGTGTTATGGATGATCTTCACATAAGATAAACTTGATTTAAAAAATAAAAGATGTGTATGATGCGCATATAAGGCAACCACCTGTTTTTCGGTCATAATTTGCTATTTTAAGTCTCATTTTATATGCAAGAATATACGGTATATTGGCATTATGTTTGCAAATCACAACAACAAAACAGCCAATCAAATTGTTTTTTTTTTCTTACCTGAGCAACCTTGTTCATCTTCACCATTAGCACAATTCCACTGATCATCACAAATAAGATTGCTTATTAATACTTGTCCATCATAACACACACCAGGAACACATTCTGTTGGGGTTTCAGTTGTAGAGTATGGTGCTGTGGTCTCAGTAGTGGAGTATGGTGTTGTTGTTTCAGTAGTAAAGTATGTCATTGTGGTTTCAGTTGTAGAGTATGGTGTTGTGGTTTCAGTAGTGGAGTATGGTGTTGTGGTTTCAGTAGTGGAGTATGGTGTTGTGGTTTCAGAAGTGGAGTATGGTGTTGTGGTTTCAGTAGTGGAGTA